CCTGGTAGTGATTTGTGTTTTCCACCTAATATTTTCAGCTTTTCTTATTCCAGGCTCATGGGAACATGCCACTTTCCCATGTCCCCTGAAGTTAGGTGGGTAACATGACATGCCTCGGCCAGCGGAAAGTGAATGCTTGTGACATTTCAGTTACCATGAGCAGATTTGAATCCCTCACTGACCTGCACCTAGTATGAGCTAGTAATAAACATTGATTGCATGAACACATTTAAGGGAAATTTGTTGTTACAACACAGCCTACCCTAGCCTACCCTGACTGAATCACAAGCTTCAACTGACAGAGGAAATTCCTTTGACAATGAAATTAGAGATTTTTTACATCCTATCAAGGTAATAATCTTGAAAGCTAAGTTTGGCAACAACAAAAAGAGTATTTTATAAATTCTTTAAACTGTAATTATGTGTTGAGACTCAGAGCTGAAGTCTCCTGTGGCCACTATAGGTCATCCCAGACGAGAAATAGCTAAAGGAGTTCATCACCACCAAACCAGTGTTATAAGAAATGTTAAAGGGAGTTCTATGGAGAAGAAGGAAAAAAAGATTAAAAATATGAATAATACAATGGCAATAATTGCATACCTATCAGTAATTACTTTAAATGTAAATGGGTAAATGCTCCAATCAAAAGACAGGGTACCTGAAGAGAAGAAAATAAGTGGGCCCATAGGAGACCCACTTCATATTGAATAATACATCTGCTGAAATAAAGGGTTGGAAAAAGATATTTCATACAAACAAAACAAAAAAAAAGCTGGGTTAGCAATACTTCTATCAGACAAAACAGACTTTAAAACAAAGCCTATAGCCCTGGCTGGTGTATCTCAGTGAACTGAGCGTGAGCCTGCAAACCAAAGGACTGTGGTTTGATTCCCAGTCAGGGCACATGCCTGAGTTGCAGGCCAGTTCCCAAGGGGCCCACAAGAGGCAACCATACATTGATATTTCTCTCCTTCTCTCTTTCCCTTCCCCTCTAGAGATAAATAAATAAATAAATTTTTTAAAACTATTATTAAAAAAATATAAAAAAGCCTATAATAAGAAACAATGTAGGACATTCCATGTACAATAACCAAGTTATGGAAACAACCTAAGTATCCACTGATAGATGACTGGATAAGGAAGATGTGGTACATATATATGATAAAAAATTACTTGGCTATAAAAAAAGAATGAAATCTTACCATTTATAACAGCATGGATGGACCTAGAAGGTATTATACTAAGTGAAATAGGTCAGACACAGAAAGACAAATACCACATGATTTCACTTATATGTGGAATCTAAAGAACAACATAAACAATCAAGACAGAAACAAACTCATATGTACAGAGAACAAACTGATGCTTGCCCAGTGGAATGCTGTTGGAAGCTAAGCATTAGGGAGAGGAAAGGATTAAGACGTACAAATTGGCAGTAAAGAGCAGTCATGGGGTTGTAAAGTACAGCGTGGGAAATACAGGCACTACCATTATAGCGATGTATGCTGACAGACTGGTACGAGACTTATCAGGGCAAATACTCTCTACGTTAGATAAATGTCTAACCAACCACTATGCTGTACACCTGAAACTAATATAATATTGAATGTCAGCTGAGTTAAAAAATAAAAATAATTAAATTAAAAAGGTTACGATATGTCAGAGAGCTGAGGTTATGATAATGATAATCACAACAAAAGTAGTAATAATAATAATAACAATAATCACCCCCAGTTTCTTACTACATACTAACCCTGTGCTAGATATTTGATGGATATTAGCTCTTAATCTTTATAACAAGACTGTGAAATAGATAACATTATTACCTCCAGGGAACCAAGGCACAGAGAGGTTAAATAACTCAAGGTTACACATCTGGTAAGTGATGGGAGCCAGAATTCAAATTTTGGCTCCAGGTTCAGGAGTTAGGGTAAGGAAATCAATGTGAGTCATGCAAGTGCAGGGTCAAGTCCAACCTTTTATTTTAAATATTTTGGAGAAGGGTGGTCAAAAGGCACAAACTTCCAGTTGTAAAATAAATAAGTCACGGGATGTAAGGCACAGCACAGTGACTATAGTCAATAATGCTATATTGCATATTTGAAAGTTGCTTAAGAGATTAGATCTTAAATGTTCTCATCACAAGAAAAAATTGATAATAAAGACCCCCCCAAAAAAAACCCCACTCTGACATTTTGTTCATTCTGCACATCTTTGGGCAATAATTTTCTGACTTTTAAAAACATTACACTAGAGCCCTGGCTGGTGTGGCTCAGTTGGTTGGAGCACTGTTCTATAGACTGAAAAATTGCAGGTTTGATTTCTGGTCAGGGCATATACCAAGACGGGGTTCCATCCATGGTCAGGGCTTATTGAGAGGCAACCAATCAATGTTTCTCTCTCACATCAATGTTTCTCTCTCCCCTCCTCTTTCTTTAAAATCAATAGGTGTGTCCTTGGGTGAGGATAATAAATAAATAAATAAATAAATAAATAAATAAATAAATAAATAAATACAAATATAGCCCTGGTTTGTGTGGTTCAGTGGATTGAGTGGTAGCCTGCGAACCAAAGGGTCGCAGGTTCAATTCCCAGTCAGGGCAGGTACCTGGATTGCAGGCCAGGTTCCCAGCAGTGGGCACATGACAGGCAACCACACATTAATGTTTCTCGACCCCCTTTCTCCATCTCTTCTCCTCTCTCTAAAAATAAATAAATTAAATCTTTAAAAAATAAATAAAATTTAAAGATATTACAAAACAATGTTACTTAACTTGATCACTGAGTTCTCAGGTGTCCCCTTGCTTTTGCAACTGACTATATCACTCACTTCACCCTGCTAGGCTGTCTGGCTTTAGAATCTAATTTTCTAGCCTCTGAGTCATACAAGTCCTTAGCATGGAGAAATGGGGAAAATCCCAACTTTTCCAGTCCTACAGAGGGGACAGGGATGGAGTAGGGGAAATTGGTGCTAAGAGAGGGTGTCCTGATGGCCCCTCTCCTAGCTGAAATCCAGGAAGTTAAGGGAGAGGAGCTATAGCCAAGGGGCCTTTGTTTCCTTCCTGTTCAGATCTCCACAAGGGAGAACACCAAGAAGCATAGCCTCTGGCAAGCTGGGAACATCCACAGCAAAGGGACAGTGAAGGGGCCGCCAAGTTGTGAAACTAGGATGCCCTCACTTCCCAGGGGCGTAGGTGGGTATGGTTGGTTCCTTGTTCCCTGTGGACAGAGCAGGGGCACAAGGGGCTTCACCCCTCAGTCCCCTCACCTACACTGTGACTGGAATCCCCTGACTTCTCAGAGGTTTGACTTAGCTGGCAAGGGGAGGAAAGCTCCCCAGGTCTAATTTTTGCAGCCTCTTGCATGAAGGCACAGCCTTTGTCAACCAGCTTGGTTTCAGAAACTCCACCCATAGCAGAACTGCACAGTCTAGAGAACAATCGATCTTTGGACACCCCCCAGTGACACCGACCCTGTACTCCAAAGCAGTGGGAAAACCCAGGCTCTGGTTAGTGATGCACATGTGTGAGAAAGGCAACACCTGCTAGGTTTTTAAACAGAGGCTAACGCCTCACTAATAAATGTTTTTTGTGGATTTTTTCTCTTTGTTATTACAGATCACACTACACTGAATTCTTATGTGTGTGTGTATCTGTGTTTGTGCCTCATGCAAGTGCACTTTACTTATGCAAGCAAAACTGCTAGGTAGAAGGAGATATGTATTTTGGTATCTTGATTGATTTTCTCAAATTGTACTTCCAAATGCTTAGGTCCATTTCAAACCCTAGCCTCCAATTCTCTGAATATGAATGAGATGGTGTTCCAATTCATTTATATTGCTGTTAATAACCTGGCTGCCCATATTTGTTTTGTATTCCTAGAGGGCATTAGTCACTTTTTAATGGCTTAACTTCAAAGTTATTTAAATCTTAAGGAAATCAGTCTTGGCTGACAGTGGCTCTTTTGCTCTTTTTTTAGCTTGGCTTGCATCTCTTCAATCTGTAACATGCCCATCTTCCTCTGTCTCAGTGTGTCCTCTCTTTTTCCTATAAAGACACAAGTCTTTGGCTCTGGCTGGTGTGGCTCAGTTGATTAGAGCACCAACACATAAAACAATGGATCTCGGGTTTGATTCCCAGTCAGGGCACATGCCATGCAGGAGGCAATCGATCAATGTTTTGTTCTCTCATGTGGATATGTCTTTCTTTCTCTCTCTCTCTCTCTCTCTTTCATTAATGTTTCTCTCTCTCTCTCTCTCTTCCTCTCTCACTGGAAAAAAAAGGATACCAGTCACTGGATTAAAGGTCCACCCTAATCCAGTATGACTTCATCTTGGCCTAATTACACCTGCAAACACCCTATTGCTAAATGAGGTCACACACCAAGGTTCTGGGTAGACACAAATTGCTGAGGGGGGGGGGGCTATTCAACCCACTACAACCATCAAAAACAGGTGGACTTCAATAACCAAGGGGAAGAGAGAACTGAAGGGCAATGTAGGGTGTTTATAAGACCAGGTCAGGAAGGAACAATTCATCCACTTATACCTCTCTTCCTATTGGACAGGTGAGCCATGTGGTCCCACCAGGTGTGGCCTCACTACATGTCAGGAGGCTGAGAAGATGGAGACAGGAGCACATGGATGTTTGGGGAGCCCCTCCACAACCCTCATGTACCTGGGTGCTTGCTCTGCCTTGGCGCCCAGCATGCAGTCTGGTCTCTAGTAGATGCTCCAGAGAATGTTTGTTTCGTGGAAAAATGAAAGAATGAATGCATGAGTGAGTACTTGAAAGGTGAGCATTGGGAACGGAGTTGGAAGACTGAGGGACAGGCAACTAACTCCCTGGCCCAAGGGACCTTCAGAAGCTGGTGGGAATTTCCCAGTACTGGAAGAATTCAAGTTCCGCCCCTTTACAGGGGCATCCCCACTGTGGGGCGTGGCGAGTCCTTGGCATGTTGTAGCAGGCCCAGGCAGTTAAGCTCTGAGCGCTGAAGTTCATTTCCTGAGTGAGCTCCGTTAGACTTGCGAACACACAACCATACAGCGCTGGCAGAGGATCAAGATGATGAGGGCGGAGGCGGGCCCCATCTTCATGGCGCACCGGGCGCACTTTCAGAAAGTTATTTGGCCGCTTGTTTTCTTGGTGGTCTGCATCGTCTGCTGGATGGTCCGCACACAGCCCTACCACCTTAAGCCGGCTGAGGTAAGTAGAGAATGAAAGAGATGCACACCTGTCACGTGCTGGAGGGCTTGGGGAACTCAGGGTGGGCCTGGGCCTGGAGGGATGGGAGGGGAGATGGGCAACCCGGAAGAGAATCAGGGCAGAGGGGCCAGATGGAGAGCAAGCTGACAGAAGGGCAGATTAACAACAACAAGAAGACAAAATGGAATGAAGTCTGAAAAGCCAGGAGGAGATCTGGCTGGGAAGGGACAGCCAGAAATAAAGACTGGAGCAGGGAGGTAAGGCAGCAGCAAGGCTGCCCCAGGGTCCGGGCTCAGGGATAGCCCTGTCAGGAGGTAAATCCCGGGTGGGGATCCCAGGGTCGATCGCTGCATCTGGGAAAGGTGCAACGGATGTGGCACAAACAATGAATGACTCGGCTTTGGTGTTCCCCCAGCACGCTGACTCAGAGGCTGCTGGGGGCTTCACAAAGCTGGGAGAGAGGGCCCAAGGGGCCCTCCAAGGACAGGAGGAACCTCACCTGATCACGTGAGAGCCCAGGATACCCCTGCCCTGGCCAGGGATCGCTTCTGGGGGCTGGGCAGGGGGCTTTTTGGTGGACAGAGGTAGGTGCAAGCACATCCCACCCCCTCTCTACCTTATGTCCAGGAAAGTTCTTTAAGGTTTTTTCTTACACACCCAGCTAACTGAAACATACTTCCTCTTTAAGAGGTTTTTCTTTTTTAATTCACAAGTCAGCCCCTTAGAATAAAGAGTGGGCAGTGGAAAGAGAGTTCTGATTCCCCTGTTTTCTCATTTCTTCCAGCAAGACATAGCCGAGCTTCATCTGAACTACACAGGTGAGGTGGGAAATGGGCTGAAGTGTGTGTGTGTGTGAGTAAAACAGAGAAAAACTGAAAGAGAGAATGAAAAAGATGAAAAAGAAAGAAATGTCAAGAGAAAGGGAGAGAGAGAAAATAGGGGAGGGGAAATAAAGAATGAGAAAGAGTGAAAGAGACAGAGAGAGATGGGGCAGTTTTCCTGGGTGCGTGCTACCTTACTCTTTCCCTCAGTCCTTCACATTTTATCCTCTGCCTTGAGAGAGCCCAAAATAACTAAAACCCACTAATAGCAATGACTGACATTCCTTCATTTTTTCCACAAAAATTAGTTGAACACCTACTGGGAGTCAGGCACGGTCCTGGGAAGGGAATAGACAAAAGGCTCTGCCTACATACTTTTCTCCATCTATGGGGACAATATATAAAGGAACAAGAAAAGTATGTAGCATGCTAAGTAAAGCACACAGAATGTTTTAGAGGAAAATAAAGTGGGGGGTTGGTATCAGGGTGCCAGGGTTGGGTTTGCTGTTGAAAGTGAGGTCATCCCTGAGAAGGCGAGATCAGAGCAAAGATGTGAGGAGGGGGAGGGAGGGAGTCATGGGGGGGGGTGTCTCCTCCCATCCTGAGGGTTAGGTTACAACAAAATATTTTGGACATTCACTCTACAGCCATCAGTTTTCCTAAACCTGCATCTTTCTACCCGCCAACCCTCTGCCTCCAGGACCACGGCAGGACCCCAGACTGCTCTGGAAGGGAGACCCAGCACTCGGTCGCTCCTTCCTGCAGGGACCACAGCTGGACAATGGGCAGCTGCGTGTCCAGCATGATGGCATCTATAGGTTGCACATCCAGGTGACACTAGCAAACTGCTCCTTCTCCTCAAAGAACACTGAGTCCCGAAGAGCCCTTCTAGCTGTGGGCATCTGCTCCCCAACCACCCACAGCATTACCCTGCTACGTCTGAACTTCCACCTCAGTTGCACTGTTGCCTCCCAGCGCCTGACACCCTTGGTCCATGGGGACACTCTCTGCACCAACCTCACTCTGCCGCTGGAGCCATCCCAAAATGCCGATGAGACTTTTTTTGGTGTTCATTGGGTGCACCCCTGATTGTTGCACTTTCCAGTCCAGACGTGGGGAGAGGTTTTCTCCCTTTTTTCCCATTGTGTTAAGGAATATTATTTTCTTACTACAATACTATATAAAGTATATAATAAATATATATATATGTGTGTGTGTGTATATATATATATAGTTGCATGGCTCGTTCTTTCCTGAGAATGAATTCTGCACTATAAGGCCTTTTCATTATCATTATGCAGATAAGCTGTGTCATCACTCAGGAAACAAGCCCAGACATGCCTGGGCTTTCTTTAGAGTGAGATGTTCTCTGGACACACACAAAACATGCACACACACTGCTCGCATACACAGAGCCCCCATGCACACATGTACCCACCATGTATGAGGCCCTGGAGGGCTCCAGTCCTATTATGTTGGATGACTGACTAAGGTCAGTTTTTATTGAGTTTTGGGAGGCAATTGGGGAGGGTTGTTTTAAGCAAAAAAGTTTATTTTAGGAGAACAAGAGTGCCAGCTCCTCACTGACAGGTGGCATTTTGTCTCTTAAATGGGCTATGAGAGAATGGTCTCTTCCTGCTATGCAAATCGAGGTAAGTTGTTTTCACATTTCCCCCTTTCTATCAAGAGCTTTCTCTGAAAATATCACTGATTAGTGTCTGGTTATTTATGTACTTAGCAATTTTTCTTTCATTCTTTTTTCTTTCTTTCTTTTAATTTTAATTTTTTTCTTTGGTCTGTGTCCCTTAAAGCCAGGAAGGACCTTTTCTGAGAATCATGTCCCACAAGAAAAGGGCAGAGGGTGAATGGAAACCATAAAGGCCACATGTGAGCAACAGGAAGGTAGAAGAAGGGGTTCTCATGCATTTTCTAGTCTAAGTTTACATTTTGTCTAGATTTAAGCATTGACAATAATCTCAAAGCCCTGGGCTATCATCATTCTATTTTTGTATCATATCTTTGGAGCCTAAACAGGCAAAAAGTACAAATATTTTTAACAATTATGCAAAATAAAATAAAAAGAAATATGATAAATCCAGTTTGTGCGATGATTCTAAACCAAGACCTGAAGGTTGCCAAATCAACAAATCAAAGGACTATGGAAAGTCAGGTGAAATTTGTTGTAACTGTCCACTGATAAACAGAATTGACTACATATTCCATCACCAAAAGGAATTCATTGGAGGGGGTGTTGTGATCTAGCTAGTGTGTACAGCCATGGTGAGCCATGGGCAGCACACACTGAATTGGTCAGAGATGAAGAGATACTTGGAGTAAGGAAAAGGAAGTTCAGTCACAACCACAGAGCTCTGCTGTGAGCACAGAGTTCTTCCTGGATGGTTGTCTCCATAACACAGAGTGGGAGAACTCCGCTAAGCCCTAGCACCTCCCACAGATCCTCCTGGTTGATGATGTAAAGCTTCAAGTCTCTGTCATAATTTTTATCATAACCAGTGGGTTTGTCTTCAATTTTATGTAGCTGAGTTTCTACTTCCCCAGAGGACCTTATCTAAGTGCAACAGGTAGTGTTTGCGTATACCCCCTTGTTCAGCAAGCAAATAATCAAGAGCTATTCTGCTGTCTGAATGCACTTTGGCTAAGAAATCAATTGATCTTTATTGGGCAACCATTGCCTTGGCAGTGGAATTAGCAATGTCTCCTAATGTCAGAGAGAGAGATTTCTGAGCATACGTTCATTGGTACACAGTGGAACAATAAATACCCTTCTCAGAGAGAAAGAGACAGAATCAGGTTTTTCCTGAGAGTTCTCTTGCGACTATGAAGGTTTAGTGGTGAGGTCCAATGGGAGGCCTTGTATGTGTTAATGGAGAGCATATAAAAAAACATTAAATACAGAAGGTCATGTTGTTCTTTTGTTGTCAGCGAAAATGGGGCTCTTTCACAGGGTCACAAGAAAAGCATTTCAGGTCACCATGCATGAGAGGTTGAGGGTTCATGGTAAAATTCACTGTAGAAGAAAAATCAAAGGACTGCCCCCGTGTTTCCAGTGTCCTATCTCCATCCATCCTGCCATGGAAAAAAGAATCTAGCCTTCATCAAGCCCAATACAAAGGCCAAATTCCAAAAGTTCTGTGCCATTAGCCCAGTCCAGTTCAGTCCCTGTCACTATCTGGCTAGCTTAGTCTGTATTCCTGGCTGCACTCTAGCTAGCTGTTCCCAGGCCTGCACTTGGAGCCTGCAAGCCCAGGCCACAGGCCCCAGGCCCCAGGTGGTTGGTAGGGCCACATGGCTGCTGCAGAGAGAAAAGGCATGAGTGAAAGGGGTGAGCGCAAGTTACCAAGTAAGAGAGAGAGAGAGCTTTGTTAAGCTTGGGTTGTATTATCTTGAGCTTGGGAAGGACCCGGTGCTTCTTCAAGCTAACCAATTTCCCAGTCTTTTGCAGGCCCACCCCCTAAACAATCTATATCATACATATTTCAGGATACTGTGCCCCTTTTCCAATTCAATTCTTTACCCAGGCTAGACTGACAGGCCTCGATGGTCTCCATCTTAGTTCTTACTGAACTAAGTCTCATACTTCTATTCATACTTCTAGTCTCATACTTCTACTATGAGACTGAACCTGCCTCATAGCAGAAGCACCTCCCCTAGCATAATTTTGGCTTCTACTGGACATGTGACCATCAGAGGAATTTCCCCTTTATTGTTCTATCTTGCCCTGCCACCTGCCTAATAATCTGTGGAAACAGACTGGTGGTTCACTGGGGAGTGTGTGAAGTTTTAACTCCTAGTGAAGCAGACCCAGTCTCCCAGTTTATTAGGCTTCTTAATATCTGAGCCCTTTTGCTCCCTTCCTTTATTAATATTTACTTACCCATGCTAACATATTTTCCCCAAAGAATCTAGGGTCTTGCAATCTTACAAGGGTAAATGGACAAAGGTCTCATCTTCTGTAGATTTTTCTTGCTGTCAAGGAGCATAGTTCTGCCTATTCTCAGGCCCAGATATTTTTCCTGTCTGCCAAAGGAAGGAAAGGAATGAGAGGGAAGGGACTCTTCACTCAAGAAGGAGGAATTCGGCAAAGTCCACATCAGTCTGGTGCTGTCCATGGGAGACAGCATATGCAATTATTAGAAGATGACATTGCTGGACAAGCTGGCATCCTTGTTGTATTCTAGAGGTGACAAATTTGACAAGAAGGTTAAAAATGCATAGTCCAAAAATGGGGAGAATTATAGCAACTAAAGGACTGGCTAGAGGCAAGCATAAGGTGATCGAGGGAGGGACTAACTTTGTAGTGACCCAGATTAGGCTGGAGGAAGGTGTATCATATCTGTCTGAAGCCCTGTTGTTTACCATACTTAATTCATATCAGGCTGATGGGAACACTCTAAGATTTCCCCTCTGAAGAACATTGGGCCTTTTCTGTCTGAGCCATGTGAGTAGAAAGCAAAAGCAGTCTCGAATGAAGTTCATAGACCTCTCCATACTTTGCCAACTCAACCATCTAGTCCTGAAAACAAGTCAACCAACCCAGCCTCATTTTCAAAGGCAGTGGTGCAGATGGGCTTCTAAAGTGAAACCAAACTGTATAAACAAGCAATCAGGTAAATAAGGTCATAGGCATACATTCTATGAAAACAGAAGGAAGAAAAACTACGAAGGTTAATAAACAGAGAAAATCAAAAAACAGTTTCTGAGTCTGTAAGACTATCAGTTGAGAAGATTTCCAGATGTAAGGCTTTTGCTGAAATAAAAGCAGGCAATGCCAGTCTGATAGACTCTCTTCACCTGCAGTTTGAACATCTCTGGTGATGTCATCAGGTGCTGAAGTGAATTCTGCATGGTGTACACAGACACAGCCTTAAGAAAAAAGTTTTAGCTATAAATAATTACTAGTCCAAAGATGGGAAGAGAAAATAAAACATTAGTTTGGAGGTTTGAGGAAAACTAGAATTTAGGAATCAGGTCAGTTTGCAGGTGAAAAAGAACACTTTCAAGACAATCAGAGTTCAATACTGAACCAGAGTTCAATAACCACAACTGGACATTATGATTTCTACTGAAATACAATTTCCCTATACAGAGTCAAAACTGGGAGACAAATATATATATATATATATATATATATATATATATATATATATATATATATATATCTCCAAAAGAAAGTAAAAGAAATCCCTAGACCAAAAATGAAATGAAATGAAAACCACCAAAATACCAGATGCAGAGCTTAAAACAATGGTTATAGGCATGCTCAAGGGCCCTGGCTGGTGTGGTTCAGTGGAATGAGTGCTGGCCTAAGAACCAAAGGGTCACAGTTCAATTCCTAGTCAAGGCACAGCCTGGGTTTCAGGCCAGCTCGCTCCCCAGTAGGGAGTACATGAAAGGCAACCACACATTGATATTTCTCTTCCTCTCTTCCCCTCTGTTTAAAAATAAAATAAAATCTTGGGGTTGGGGGGAGTGGTGGGGAGAAAATGCAGACAACTCTAGTTAAACAACAGTAAAGTAATTTATGAAAAAATTAAAATAAAATAAAATCTTAAAAAGAAATAAAAAGAAGGATGTTCAAGTATCTTAGGGGAAGAATGGATAATATCAGTGAAAATTTAAAGAGATAGTAAACTTTATTTTTTTATTCATTTTATTTTTTATATAGTAAACTTTAAAAAGAACATAGAAATCATAAAAAACAGAAATGAATACAATATCTGACATAAAGAATATATTAGAAGAAAGCCAAAGCAGAGAACTGAATTGCCAATATAGAAGAAAAGATAACGGTAAACACTCAAGCAGAGCACAAAAAAAAAAAACAACCCTGAATATTTAAAAATGAGGAAAATCTAAGGGACTTCTGGGACAACATCAAGAGTAATAACATTTGCTTCATATGGGTACCAGAAGAAGAAGAGAATGAGCAAGGGATAGAGAACTGTTTGAGAAATAATGGCTGCACCCTGGCTGGTATGACTCAGTGTATTGAACACCAGCCTGTGAAGTGAATGGTTGCTGGGTTTGATTCCTGGTCAGGGCACATACCTGGGTTGCAGACCAGGTCTCCCATTGGAGGCATGTGAGAGG